GCTCACGAAATGGGACTTGGCGAATTCGGAGGGCTCCATGTTCCAATCCCCCCCGACAAGGAATGGTTTCCCGCAGGTGGACCCTTCCGCCCCTATCGCCGACAGTATTTCGAGGTTGGCTTCTGAGAGCCCTTCCGAATCGCGCATATACACCGAACAAGCTTGAAACACGTCCCCTTGGGGCGCGTGAACCAAGGCCGCGATGGCCCTATGGGGAGCCAGCTCGAGCCCCGAGGGCGCCAGATGAAGCCCAAGATTCGCGCGACACAGGATAGACACTCCAACCGAAGGGCCGCCTTCAGGCCCAGTCGTGCCAGGGATGAGGAGGAAGCCTCTCGATGGCTTCGAGGAGGAGGCCTTTTCGATTGCTTCCTCGGGCATGTCGGGGCCAAAAGTCATCGTGGACAACGCGCCTCTTTGGGAGGCTCCCAACGACCTTTCGTTTTCTTAACGAGCCTGGGCACACATGTGCCACTTGTATATATATATATATATATATATATGTACGTATACATATGGGTGCACGGGCATATCGGTGTCCCTGATTTCCCTTGTCGTACAAGAAGGCTCTGGCATCGATACTTTTCTTCTCCGCTCCTCTTCTCCCTCCCCTTCCTTTCCAAACGCGCACGGACGCCTGAGAAAAATCAACGACGTTGCAAACAAAACCGGAAATATTTGAACAACAGAAAAAACAACAACTATGATTTCGGGAGAACCTTGCCGGCCCCGCTCCCCAGAAATTCTCCTCATGTTTTTGTCGGTTTTCGGAAATATTGTCGCTGTCGTTCGGCCTCCATAGAAGGATTCCGAGTGAAGCTCTCCAAAGAAGGATTCCTCCACAGAAGGATTCCTATTGAAATCCTCCGAAGAAGGACTCGCGTTGAAATCCTCCACAGAAGGATTCCGATCGAAATCCTCGACGCAAGGCGATTCCTATTGAGATCCTCCACAGCTCCTCACCCTCATGCTTCCTCCTCACCCTCCTGCTCCTACTCTTCATTCTGCCCCCTCCTCTCCGCTTCGAGGCGTCACTCGCAAATCTAGTTGTGAACGCAACTCCACAACTAATCTTGCGAGAAACCTCCCGCTACGAGACATCACTCACAAAACTAGTTGTGAACGCGGCTCCACAACTAGTTTTGTGAGTGATGTGTTCCTTCTCACCTTCGTCATGCTCCTCGCCCTCCTTTTCTTCCTCACCCTCCTCTTCCTCCTGTTCCTCCTCTTCTTCATTCTGCCCGCTCCTCTCCACTTCGAGGCGTTACTCACAAATCAGGTTGTGAACGCAGCTCCACAACTAGTTTTGCGAGTAACCTCCCGCTACGAGACATTACTCACAAAACTAGTTGTGACCACGTCTCCACAACTAGTCTTGTGAGTGATGTGTTCCTCCTCACCGTCGTCACGCTCTTCACCCTCCTCTTCTTCCTCCTTATCCTCCTCCTCGTTCTCCTCCTGCTGTTCATCCTGCCCGCTCCTCTCCGCATCGAGCCGTTACCCGCAAATCTAGTTGTGAACGCAGCTCCACAACTAGTTTTGCGAGTAACCTCCCACTACGAGATATTACTCACAAAACTAAGTGTGAACGCCGTTCCACAACTAGTTTTGTGAGTACCGTGTTCCTCCTCAACTTCGTCATGCTCCTCAACCTTCTCTTCTTTCGCCTCGCCGTCTTCATCCTGCTGTTCCTGCTCCTGTTCATTCTGCCCGGCCCTCTCCATTTCGAGGCGTCACTCACAATTCGAACTGCGAACGCAACCCAACAACTAGTTTTACGAGCTACCTCCCGCTACGAGACATTACTCGCAAAACTAATTTTGAACGCGGCTCCACAGCTAGTTTTGTGAGTACTGTGTTCCTCCTCGCCTTCTCGTGCTCCTCACCCTCCTCTTTTTCCTCCTCGCCCTCCTCTTCCTCCTCACCCGTTTCCTCCTCCTCATTCTCCTCCTGCTGTTCATCCTGCCCGCTCCTCTCCGTTTCCAGGCGTCGTTCTCAAATCTAATTGTGAACGCACCTCCACAAGAAGTGCTGTGAGTGACGTGTTACGCCTCACCTTCGTTGCGCTCCTCATCCTCCTCGTCTTCCTCTTCCTCCTCCTTTTCCTCCTCCTGCTCCTTCTCTTCGCCCTTCATCATGCCCCCTTCCCAGAGGATTCATATTGAAACCCTTGACAAAGAGCAGAATAAGGCGGATGAGGAGGAGGAGAGGGAAGATGAGGCGGACGAGGAGAAGGTTTTTCCTGAAAGCCGCTACACAAGGAGTACTAGTGAAATCCTCCACATCAGGGTTCCTAGTGAAACCTTTTACAAAAAGGAGATGTCGGCGGATGAGGAGGGCGAGGAATAATGAGGCGGCCGAGGAGGAGGAGGAAGGAGGAAATCCCCCACAGAAAGACCCGATTGAAATCCTCCACAGAAGCATTCCTATCAAAATCCTCCACAGAAGGATTCCCATAGAAATCCTCCAGAGAAGGATTCGCGCTGAAACCGTTCACAACAAGGAGACTTAGGCGGTTGCAATCCAAACCGATGTAACCAAATGCGTTGGAAGCCAATGGATTGGCACCGACTCAATGGAAAGCAGCCACGGCAGGCGGAGGCTTGGGCCGCGCGCAAGTGATTTGATTGGACGTCGGCAGTTATGTCTGGTTGGGGGACGCCTCAGTCGCTCGCGCTTGCCTTCACTGACTTTACGGGGGTTTGAAAAGAATGCGCGTGCACGTTTTGCATTTACCGGCTGCATGCGCAGACACAGGCACACATATACACATATATGTATATATATATGTATACATATATGCATGCGAGGGTAAGCCACGTTTGAAGTGTGGCGGTTCAGATGATGATGCCCGCGCGCCCTTCTACACATATATATACATACATACATACATGCATGCATGCATGCATACATACATGCATGCATGCATACATACATACATACATGCACACATACATGCACACACATACATACATACATACATACATACATACATACATACATACATACATACATACATACATGCATGCATGCATCCATCCATCCATCCATCCATCCATCCATCCATCCATACATACATACATACATACATACATAAATACATACATACATACATACATACATACATACATACATACATACATACATACATACATACATACATACATACGTACATGCATACATGCATGCATGCATGCATGCATGCATGCATGCATACATACATACATACATACACACAGATGAACAGCGGCGATGAAGCCGAGCGGAGCTTGTGCAGTGGGCCTGATACAGTCCAGCCTGCATCACAGGCTCGGCATCGTGCGGGAGGCCCTCGTGAATATCGCCCCTGCGTCGGGGGGGGGGCAGTCGACCCCCCAGGGCGTGGCTCGCCGTGCTCGGCTGATGGATCCGGTCGTACTGGAAGTAATGCTTGCCAGCTGCCTTGCTGCTGCTTCGAGTGCGCCCCTCTCCTCCTCCTCCCCTATCCCCCCCCTCCTCCTCCCTCCTCCTCCTCATCCTCCTCCTCCTACCTCCTCTCCTCTCTCCTACCTCCTCCTCCTCCTCCTCCTCCTCCTCCTCCTCCTCCTCCTCCTCCTCCTCCTCCTGCCTCCTCCTCCGCCCTTCCACAACGAGCTGGACGCAGTGGAGCGTCAGGTAGCGGCAGTGCGGATGCAACCTGAACTGACGGGCCCACTCATACAGGGAACGGTGATACTGTCCACGGCGCCAGTGTGCCTTTATGCGTATGCTGTATTATGCTGCTGCTGCCTCCTGGCATGCTGGCTACTATCATGCTGTTGGTGCCCTTCTTGTTACCAACAAAGGAGGGACTTCGCTCGCAACTCGTCGTGCCCAAGTCGCGCTGCTGCTCGATCTCTCAATCGCGTTTGTCGACGTAGTGCCGCTCAGAGCTCGAGAGTTCGTACCACTGCTCGTCCAACTGGCTGGTGTCAAGATGTTGCTGACGGTCGCCCACGTTCTGCTCATCTTCGCGCAGGTTGTTGACTGCCCAGCTGCTCTATGTATTGCTCACAGCACCCTTGGTCCAGCAATGGAAGCCGAGATCGAGTTAATTCCCCCATATCGTGCTGCTCGACGCCATGCAGGAAAAGGCCGTCGTGCGTCGTGCCGTTCAAAGGTAATGCTCTGCACGCTACTCGCTCCACAGGAACAGCCCAGCGCACCATTCGGGGAATGCCAGCCCCTCCTCAGTGGAGGCTGCCCTCGAATCCTCGAGGCAGTGGGAGTGGTGGTTGTGGCGGTGGTGGTGGTGATTGCAGGAGGAAAAAAAGGGACAGAAAATGATGATGGCGGTGGTGGTGACAACCGTGGTGGTAGCAAACGCCGCTGCGGCCGTGAGGGTCACTTGAACAAATGATGGCGCTTGCGTTGTTTTGTTGAGGGGGCGGGGGCGGCTATCAGTGCTGGCAGTGGTAAAACAACAAGTGGTCGCGAACGTGATGGTACTGGCAGTGGTATTGGCAGTGCGAATGGTGGTAATAATCGTAAGCAGACTTGGAGAGAGGAGGAACACAAATTGCTATGGCAATGGTCATAGTGGTGACGGTGTGGTGGGTCGTTTTCCTTATAGGGAAGAAGGGGAAGGAGAAGACGGGGGGAATGTGGGGAGGAGGGGGGGGGAGGGGGGGGAGGATAAGCCAGGTGCGAGGAGAGAAGAAGAAGAGAGGATCGGATAGGATAGGATTGGATTGGACTAGGATAGGATAGGATGAGATGGATAGGAAGGCGGAGGAGGAGGAGGGGAGGAGGAGGAGGAGAGGATAAGGAAGGATAGGAGGAGGAGGAGGAAGAAGAAGAGGAGAGAAAGAGGAGGAGGAGAGGAGGATGAGGAGGAGGAAGGAGGAGGAGTGGGAGGCGAATGGGGAGGGGAGGAAGGAGGAGGAGGAGGTAGGCGTGAGAGAGGAGGAGAGGAGGAGGAGGAGGGGGGAGGAGGAGGGCATACCGCGCGAAGCCGACAAACTTCGTCGCACCCGCGGGACCGGCTTCGTCCGGATGTAGGCCGCCTTCGTGCAGACCGAAGGCGACACGAAGCCCGTTGTCACGGAGATCGTCAGGTCCTCTTCTTTTTCTTCTTCCTCCTCCTCCTCCTCCTCCGCTGCCGCCCCTCCTCCTCCGTCTTGCTCCCTCCCTTCTACCCTCCTCCCTCCCTCCCGCCCTCCAGCCCCTTCCACCCGCCTCCTCCCTCCTCAATCCTACGTCCTCCTCCCTCCTCCTACCCTCCCCGCCTTCCTCCCTCCCTCCCTCCCTCCCTCTTCTACGTTTGCCAGCTCACCATCGAGGCTATGTGGCGTTCTTCAGCCGGGCACCAGAACATGATTCTGGCGTGGCGAAGCTGCGAACGCAAATGAAGGCTGATGCCAGTGCGGGTCCTCCCTCCCTCCCTCCTCCCCCCCCTCCTCCTCCTCCTCCTCCTCCTCCTCCTCCTGCTCCTCCTCCTCCTCCTGCTCCTCCTCCTCCTCCCCCATTCTATTTTGCGCGGCAAGCGTCGCAGAAGCGGAGTGCAACGACGGCAACAGCACAAACCGTCAGGCAGCAGGGAACGGGAAACAGGGAAGAGGCGAGGCAGCGCCGCCCTCACCCCGCGGACTCGGACAAAGACGGGGCTTACGACTGAGGCTGCTCTGGAGCCGGGGCCAAACGCTGGCTCGGGCTCTTCAGCTGGCGTGCCGATGTCGAGGGCCTCTCGAGGGCCGCAAAAGCGCGAAAGCGGAAACCTGGGAGCCTAAAACCTAAGATCGGCAGGTGGCCGAAGCGGCAAACGGGGCCACGATTTCGGTAGATGGAGATGCCTAAACTGCGTCGGGCCTCAAACCTCTGAGCCTCCACACTCGAGGCGCCCCATCTCGAACGAGAGAGTGCCAAATGAGAGGCTCACGTCAACAACGCGGCTCTTCTTGAGGGCTTCCCGGGTGGCGTCCTGGCCGCGTCGCGGCCGGATCGCAGCACCTGCGCCCGGGAGGCGACCCCGTCGCCGACAGCCACAGTCGCCGTCTTGCTCGCTTGGCATCTCTCGGCCGTTATGCTCCTCCTCCTCCTCCTCCTCCTCCTCCTCCTCCTCCTCCTCGCACATTCGACATTCTCTCCTCGGGCTTCGGGTGCTGCTAGAAGTGGTGCTGGCCCAAGGCGTCCCAAGTATTTCGCGCCATTTTGGACCCCATGGGGCCATCTAGCCCTCGTGATAGGGGTGCTCTGGAGGCCCTCGGGGCCTCACCGGAAATCATGGGGACCCCCTGGGCCAGAGACACCTTTGGCAACACCCGACGACATGAGCTCAGTGGCCCGAACACGCATGTCGGGGGGGGGCCCCGGGCCCCAGCTGCTTACGGCAGGTTCGTGTCGTGCCGACCCCAGCGTTGGTTTTTGACACCGCGGGGGATCGTTCAACCTTGAACGATCGGCCGCTGCCGCTACGTCCGATCGTTCAACATCGATCGATTCTGGGTCGCCGGCGGCGTTCAACCTTGAACGCCCGCGCTGGGGTCGCCGCTGGTCGACACGACGCAAACCTACCGTAACGTCTTGTGTGGTGGCCCAGCCCGAGCTTGACCAAACAGGTCCACAGGTCGCTTGGTCCCAACGACGTTGGTCTGGGGGCGGTCACCAGGCCTGAACCCTCAGTCATCCGCCAGCGAACTTCCATCCCTCCTCCCTCCCTCCCCCATCCCTCCCCCATCCCTCCTCCCTCCATCATCCCTTTCCCATCCCTCCCTCATCCCTCCTCCCTCCCTCCCTCCCTCCTCCCTCCTGCCCCCGTCCTTCCTCCCTCCCTCCTCCCTCCCTCCTCCCTCCTCCCCCCTCCCTCCTCCCTCCCTTGAGGCATGGCAAAATGCCAGCCAAGTGCTGTCTGGCATGTAGGGCCTCTGTAATCTTCGAAGGTCCCCCCCCATTGTCACCTTGTCACGCTCCCTTGCGTGCAGATGTCCGTTGTAAGAAACACCGGAGGCGTTCCTACGATGGGTCCGCGATCCGGAGGCCACGAACGCTCAGAAAGAAACAAGGGATCCGCGCTCCCTGGCCCAAGAGGGCCACGCAGTGGCCGAAGAATGCTCCAAGACGGCCTCAAAACAGCCCAAGGGGGCCCGAGACGGCCCAGGACGCCCCCCAAGAGGCCCCAAACTGGCCCAAGAGGGCCTCCAGAGGCACCAAAGGACCGCGCCAGTCGGCCTCTCGACGGCCCAAGGCAGCCTCAAGAGACATCCCAGACGCCAGACGGCCAAGAGGGTCCAGGATGGCCCAAGACAGCTCCGAGACCGCCCAAAAGGGCCCCCACGACGGCACGAGAGGGCCCCAAGAGGGCCCCACGGGAGCCCAAAGCAGCCCCAAGACGGCCCGAGTGATCTCCTCCTCAACATCATCACCACCACGGTGCTCCACATCTCACTCGTTCTCTACGACGCTGCTCCTCCTCTTCCTCCTCCTTCTCCTCCCTGTGTTCGTCCTCCTCCTCTTCCTCCTTCCCCTCTTCCCATCATCGCTTCCTTCATCGTCCTACTCCGCCCCAGGACGACCTCAGGTGACCCAATGATAAACTCAAGATGGCCGAGGTGTGACATGTGACAGCGTTCTGACCGCCACTTCCACCGTCAACGCTCACAGTACCTTTACCACCGCTCATTTCACATGTTACAGCCTCCTGCCGCCCCTGGAACAATCGCCTCGGAGAGCACTGGGCTGGCACGGTGGCGGGACTTGCCGCAGGAAGCTGCGTTTTCAAGTGTTCTGTCTCGATGCTTCCCCGCTCTGTCTTCAACGACTCCAGCAAGCTCATCGGCGCTCTGGTCGGTGTTCCCAAACACATACTTGCGCGCGCATCACTGGACGCACTCTGGCGTCGACGCCTGCCCAGTGCAGGTCCACTGGCACAATGGTCATTTCGCGTGCCGCAGCGGCCACCGTGTCCTGCTTCACTCAACGCTCGGCGACTTCTGGCCCACGTGCGAGCAAATCTTATGTACACATCCGCTGTAACTCAGATTTCTGGACCTCCTTCCGCATGGAAGCCCGCAGCGTGTGAAGGGGCCCCAGGACACATAAATAAACACACAAATGAAACTATTCCCTATATTTTCCCATATTTTGGGGGGCTTTCGTCTTCCCCCCCACTTCCCATATTTTTGCAAAGTTTCCAAATAATCGAAGATTAATTGTGTCTGTGTGTGTTTTTTCCCTTTCTGAGCGTGGTGGGTACGGAGAAAGCTCTGGCATCGAGGCCACATGTGTGCCCACGCCTACTGCGCCTCGGATTTCTCTGGCTCTCCCTCCACGGGAGGCCCGCAGCGCGGTGGAGGCGGACACGCTCCGGCATCGAGGCCGGAGGCCTACCCATGTCGAGAGAGGAGGGCGAGGGCCACGGCGAGGAGGGGGCACGGGGGAGGGACACGGCGAGGAGGAGGAGGAGGAAAAACGCCACGAGCCCTTGCTTCAGGTCTGGGCAACGCAAAAGGAGGAGGAGGAGGAAGAGGAGGAGGAGGAGGAGCGTAAACCCAAGAACCACCCACGATGTTGCAACCGACCCTCCTTCCGCATCCCCTCTGCGCCCCGGGTCTTCGGCGCCCCTTCGCAGAACGTCCGAGACGCCGTGGCCATGGACATGCGGCTTGCCCGCACCGCTTGAGCAGGGACCGACCGTCCCGGCAGTCCTCTAGTCCTACCACGAACTGTTCTTAGAGCCCAGAAGTGTCCCAAGAACAGGAACAGCGTTCTCAGAACACAACCCCAGTGTGGTAAAACAAGACAGCCCCAACCAGACATGTTCTGAGAACACTTCTGAAGGGGCCCTGGGACACACAAATAAATACACACAAATAAAATGATTCCCCATATTTTCTGGGTTTTTGTCTTCCCGCCCAATTCCCATATTTCCCAATCTGTTCCTGGGACTCGACGATTAATTGTGTCTGTGTGTTTCTTTCCCTCCTGAATTTCGTGGAAACCACAAGAGGTTCCGGCCGGCGGAGGTGCACGGGGGGGCGGCGCTGACCGCGGGCGGAGGGCGGGAGGGCCGGAAGGGAGGGGCCAGAGGAGGAGGAGGGAGGAGGAGGAGGAGGAGGAGGAGGAGAAGGAGGGAGGAGGAGGAGGGGGAGGAGGAGGAGGAGGGAGGGACAGCACTAAAAACAGAGGTTCCAAGAGCACTGCTTGGCAGGGCTATAGAGGCGCGCCGAGGCGCCTCGCCGCTGCCCGCACCACGGGGGGGCCGCCCACGGCCTGCTGGCCGCAGGCGCTGGGTGCGCCTGCCCCCTGTGGGCGACACTGCAATTTCTGGCAACCGCCTCCCCTTCTTCGTCTTCTTCTTCTTCGTCTTCTTCTTCGTCTCCTTACCATTCCTGCTACGCCTCTTGCCATTCCTTCCCCTTCTCTCCCCTGCCCCATCCCCCGCACTCCTGCTCCTTTGCCTCCTTTTCACCTCCTCCTCCTCCTGCTCCTCCTCCTCCTCTCCTTCCTCCTTCTTCCCTCCCCTCGTCCATCCATCCCCATCATGATGAAATCACCCTCTTCGCAAATCCAGACGCGTCGGTGGGTCGGGCCGGGCGTTTTGCCAGTGACTTCCGAGTAATGTCCAATCGTTGAGAACGAAAGTGCCAACATCTACGCGGATTGAAGGCGGGCCATGTTCTAAATGTGGCTCTCGCCGCTGGGCCCAGCACATGAATGTCAATTATCCTCAACAGCTGCGCGGATGGAGGGAAGGCCCTTTTCAGGACGTGGCCCTCGCTTTCGCCTCCAGTTCTTTCGTCTTCAGCAAGATCCAACAACTGCGCGGCTGGACGGCGGGCCCCTTTGAGCATCTTGCACTTGTGTCAGTGCCACGAGAGTGCGTCCCACCGGCTTCGAACACTTACATGGATGGGCAAAAACAACAACGTCTCGAACTGAGGCTCTCGCCAGAACGCCCCGCGCACCCGTCTTAAGCGATGCCAGCTGTGACACGAAAGCATGGGAGCTGGATTCGGCATGCTGCTCTCGCATGAAGGCCTTCGGGGTCCCGAGCATTCGTCTTCAAGTCCCGATGGACAAAAACAACAACGTTTCGAACTGAGGCTCTCGCCAGAACGCCCCG